GTTTCCAAGCACACATGTCAAGGTTAGTCTACTTGATGGAAACTATTGATACATTTTTATCGTCATTGCCCTCCCCAGTTTTTAAAATGAAAATTGAAATACTCCCTTGGTCTCAAAACGAATGTGACATTTGGGGACATGTTTAAATAAAAATATTTGCTTATTGTTCAAATAACAATATGCCTCTAAATAATGATAAAATTGAAGCAAGCTTTGTTCTTGTATACTAGACTTTGATTTCATTATTTGTACCTACTACCCTGCTTTATGAAAATTGCAATGCTGAAGGTTCCTACTTTCCAACTTTGATCATTACAAAGAATTAGATATTGATTGGTCCTTGAGACGTGATTTTGTCATTGTTGGAGGGTATTTGAGATATTTGCTTATTAATCAAAATTTCCTTTTAAACTATGTGCCGAAAAATTGTTTTGGGAGTATGGAATATTGTTGGGGACTTGATGTTGTTTTGTGGTTTGCAGGAAAAGTGGGCGAAGAATTTGTATCTTGCTTGTGTTTGCTATGGAAGAACTGTGTCGTGATAGCCAGCCACACGGTATGTGGTTTGATAAGTTGTTGGAAACGAATTATCTTGTTTTGTAAGGAAAGATGAAAAAGAATTGATGTGGGAAGTTATTCAGTTTGTTTGTAAAACATATAATGATAATGTTCAATTTCGAATGTGTATGTATAGTTGGATACAGTTGGTTTTTGGAATGTAATGTGCTCATACATACTCTCTTGCCCTGTGCACAGGTGTGAGTCAACGGCTGATGGGTGGTCCAGATTGAAAAGGTTGGTCTTGTCCTCAACTAATAGGGGATTGAATAGTTGTTGTCACTTTTGTTAAACTTGAATACATCTTTGTTAGGTTGGAATTGGATGCTGTAAAACAAATACTAACATTATTGCTATATGATAAGTTTTGGCAGAAACGGAGGGAGGTGTGTTGCTCATTTCATATTTTTTATAGTATACCACACGGAGGTTCATTCAGGAATCTTAAATATTTTAGAAATCCATGAACCATTATTTCTATAAGTATTCTTAATGAATAACATGGTAAAATATTCATGGTGAATGTCATGACAAATATTCAGGTTCCTAAGGATGCGTGTGGTATCTAGACAGCACACATCAAGAATACTCATCGGTTCTCGACTTGCTAAAAATATTTAAAGTTCCTAAGGGTGCGTTTGGTATCCAGATAAAAATAGGATAAACGTTTAGTAAGACAGAACTTGACAGGACATAACAGAAAAATGACTAATTTACCCCTAGTGAGATGTTAATATATTTTGATTGATTTATATAAATTATAATAAAATAATTTTTTTTTATAACAAAATATGTCGGTTAGAAAAGTTTTCGTCAAAGACAATTAAAATGACATCAAAATAAAAAATTCATGTATTTTCCAATTTTTATCCTTTTGATATTAATAATATTTAATAAATTACATAAATTAATCAAAATACGGAAACCGGATATTAATAATATTTAATAAATTACATAAATTAATCAAAATACGAAAACCATATAAAAATAATATTTTGAGGACAGTAGATTAAAAGTTTAAAGAACATAATATACAATAAATAAAATTTAAAAAATGAATAAAATGTAAAGAAGGATGTGTATTTGATGTTCTAGAAAAAAATTTAAGTTTTATTTTGAGATTATATTGATAAAATATAGATCTGTTTCAGCTGCCCTATTCTACTGTGTTACAGTGATATCTGTTATGGTCTATCGAACCATAAATGAATGCAGAATTTTTTACATTTGGAACAAACAAAACTGGTAAATGTGATTTGGTTTGGTTTGGTTCTGTTACCTGCTTTCTGCTTAGATTGCTGTTTTTGGTTACAAATATGAATTTGGTGCAATAGCAGTAGCTACACTGGAATAAGAATCCCTTTGCCACTTTAAAGCTAAACCTTTTTCTTTCAAGACTGTTCTTTCCATATCCTCCCTGACACTTTGAGCTTCA